AGAATTGTACATCCGCTTTCATGTCGAACTCGCGATTGGCTAATATGCGTCAATCACTAACAGCTTAGCACAAGCTTTTGTAGACTTAAATGGCTAGTTTCTCTCAGAAAGAAAAGGTAACAGTTACTCTACTTACACAGTAAAACCATCATTGAAATAAGAAATTATCAAATGCTTAAAATATGTTCTTTAACTGAATAGTTTGTATCAATATGTTATTCCCATTCATAATCCCAACACCAAAGTAATGAAGCTCTTACAATGCTTCTAAATAAGATGTGTAGTAATGAAGCTCTTACAATGCCTCCAAATAAGATGTGTAGTAATGAATCTCTAATAATGCTTCTAAATAAGATGTGTAGTAATGAATCTCTAATAATGCTTCTAAATAAGATGTGTAGTAATGAAGCTCTTACAATGCTTCTAAATAAGATATGTAGTAATGAATCTCTTATAATGCTTCTAAATAAGATGTGTAGTAATGAATCTCTTGTAATGCTTCTAAATAAGATGTGTGGTAATAAAGCTCTTATAGCGCTTCTCAATAAGATGTGTAATAATGAAGCTCTTGTAATGCTTCTAAATAAGATGTGTAGTAATGAAGCTCTTGTAATGCTTCTAAATAAGATGTGTGGTAATGAAGCTCTAATAATGCTTTTAAATAAGATGTGTAGTAATGAAGCTCTTACAATGCCTCCAAATAAGATGTGTAGTAATGAATCTCTAATAATGCTTCTAAATAAGATGTGTAGTAATGAAGCTCTAATAATGCTTCTAAATAAGATGTGTAGTAATAAAGCTCGTATAATGCTTCTAAATAAGATGTGTAGTAATGAATCTCTAATAATGCTAATAATTGAAATAAGAAATTATCAAATGCTTAAAATATGTTCTTTAACTGAATAGTTTGTATCAATATGTTATTCCCATTCATAATCCCAACACCAAAGTAATGAAGCTCTTACAATGCTTCTAAATAAGATGTGTAGTAATGAAGCTCTTACAATGCCTCCAAATAAGATGTGTAGTAATGAATCTCTAATAATGCTTCTAAATAAGATGTGTAGTAATGAATCTCTAATAATGCTTCTAAATAAGATGTGTAGTAATGAAGCTCTTACAATGCTTCTAAATAAGATATGTAGTAATGAATCTCTTATAATGCTTCTAAATAAGATGTGTAGTAATGAATCTCTTGTAATGCTTCTAAATAAGATGTGTGGTAATAAAGCTCTTATAGCGCTTCTCAATAAGATGTGTAATGATGAAGCTCTTGTAATGCTTCTAAATAAGATGTGTAGTAATGAAGCTCTTGTAATGCTTCTAAATAAGATGTGTGGTAATGAAGCTCTAATAATGCTTTTAAATAAGATGTGTAGTAATGAAGCTCTTACAATGCCTCCAAATAAGATGTGTAGTAATGAATCTCTAATAATGCTTCTAAATAAGATGTGTAGTAATGAAGCTCTAATAATGCTTCTAAATAAGATGTGTAGTAATAAAGCTCGTATAATGCTTCTAAATAAGATGTGTAGTAATGAATCTCTAATAATGCTTCTAAATAAGATGTGTAGTAATGAAGCTCTTGTAATGCTTCTAAATAAGATGTGTGGTAATGAAGCTCTTATAGCGCTTCTCAATAAGATGTGTAATAATGAAGCTTTTGAACTGCTTCTAAATAAGATGTGTAGTAATGAAGCTCTAATGTTTTGACTTTGTTACCAAAAACTATAGCAGCTGATAGTGAATTAGATAAGAAGGATAGCATTGTTCGTCATTAAATATGACAAAGATCTTTGGTTGATTTTCGTCGTCGACGCATGAATCGTACAAATCGCTGGCAGGATCGCTTGGATCTTTCAGAGGTGGTCGACGAAAATTTGGCATTCCAAGCTTAGATTCCCCCGTCAAAACTCTTACTAAGAACATGAATCTCGTCTTATCTCCACCTGGACCGCTGTACTGATTACTGAAGGAAGCGTCTACAGCAAAATAGCTCCCCTCTCCATAAATTGTCGCATTCTTTCCTCGCATTCTGTGATCAAAGTTCTGCTTGCAGATGGCATCAACGACATCTGATGAAGTACCATGGAATAGCAATTTTTCTACCTGATCGTCCCTTTTTGCTTTCAGTTTCCTTTTGATTCTTTTCCGCTTACTAGATGAAGAAATGTTTAAAGCAGGGTTAATCAATGAACGTTTACAATGGAAAAGGTTGAGGGGCTATTTAATTCCTAGGCGTGCGCTCAAACAGCACAGATCATATACTCATTTGAGAAAACTATAATTACATAAGGTCATCTTCATCGTTCGCTGTCTTATACCGGATCATCATCGGCAACAGATAAAAGTGGTCTGTTTAATTTCTTGAGCCCCGTATAAAATAATTAGGAAAATTAGAAAACTGAGCCTTGGCTCCGAAATCTAAAACAAGAAATTTGTCCATGCAATCAATGTGCTTTCGTTTTGCGGCAATTTTACTTGTAATCATTAAAAGAGTGAAATGTTCAAAAAGCCCTTCCGCGGTCCAAGGTATACATTATGAAGAATGCCTTGCAGGGCAGTGTGAAAAAGATCACACGGCTTTTTGACGTCACTTATTTTAAAAAAAAAATTATTTTCCACCCCTAAGCTTTTTTTCCATTTTCTTCTTTTTTTTTGAGTTTTTGTAAAGCTCCGATTTGAAGGGACCAGACTTCACTTAGATCTAATTAAAACATGACAAAAAACTAAATCATTGTGAAGTCAGCTTCAGATATATGATGTGCAGTCGTCCTTTGTAAGTTCTGCACATACTTATCCCTCTCTATATACAATATTAACCGTTTTATAAGTTCACCTTTCGTATCTCTCATATAACTCTTCGTTCCAAATTTCTTCCACCATCACTATGGAGGCCTGGTCTTCTGGTAATGTTTCGTGAAAACGTTGACTCGCAGTTCGGTATTTTTCGCAGTTCTCTTTTAAACGAGTCCGTTCAAAATCTTTAGCCTTGCCTCTCAGATAACTAGAAGTGTAATAAAAATGGAACATATTAAAGGAACACGAAAGGCCATACGCTTAAGATTGAGACGAGAGGACGCAGGTGTATTCCTTTAGGAAACATCAAATCGTGATGTTTAACTGGTATGCAGGCTCATACCTGATGGTGATGACCTCACCACACAACGAATCCCAAAACCCTCACATCATATTACAATCATGACTGCAACGCTTCAAGTTAATTGAGCCAAGCGAGTCCCTCCATCTCTAATTGCATATGTATTAGTAAGTGATAATAGCAACAGCACAATCCACGTTCACTTACCTCTTTGTGGCGCGATAAGCTGGTTTTGAAACAAACACAGGTCTTCTTCTTACGAACCGCCTGGTCCGGAACTTTGGGTCGATATTTATTTGGTGCATAGGCATTTCGTAGAATGTTAGAATGTAATTGTGAGAACCACTTCGAAAGGGATAGAAGCCTTCTCCATTTAAATAGGCAGCCTCTATCTGTTCTTGCTTTGTCCCAGACGACTGCTAAAAGAGTAGATAAAGAACTCTAGGTCTGTCTTGACTCTGGTTCAGTTTGCAAACAACTTAATGCCACAAGCATAAATATCGCGAGTCCAAAGTTGTATTCACGAGCCAGTTGTTTGTCTGTCATTTAACCCTGTTATTTATTGACTTATTAATTGCATTAGCACACTTTATCAAGAGGTCAGTTGCCCAGCCAGTATCCCAATTTTTATCCCCTTAGCAAGAAGCCAGTGGCCACAGTGCTATGGTTGTTTTATGTACAGTCCTTTTCAGAGACCACTTGAAGATCAGACCACACGATCAGACCCTATCAATCAAAGACTTTCGCAAATTTTTAAGTACAAGATTTTGTTCTGAAAAACCCTCCTGGCCCAACTGAGAAACAAAGTGACGGTAAAGCCACTCGAATAATACTATAACAGGATATTTTGCTCGACTGTTACTTACCATCGTTTCAGAGTATTTCTTCCAACCATCGTTGCCTTCCCAATACCAAACCCATTGTGTGGATGACTTGTTGTTTGGCTCCTGTATGTAAGATGGTGCTGAGCATCGACGGAGCAAGAACTGGGCAGAGGAGGGCGAGCGCATGGACATCTCCTCGAAATGAACTGTCACCTGTGATGATGACGCACTAGAAAGAAGAAGAAATAACGGTATTACTCCAACGACAATAGAGCGATAGTTTCAAATTATGATAAAGATAATGAAAAATAATTTGCTTGGGCCTCGAGGTGAAACAGCGTTGAAAAAGAAACAAACATGTTACTTTCACGCAGCGAAGACATGAGATACAAAAAAAGCTAACTGGAACTTATTGAATTTCGTTGGAATATTTCGGCTGAATCGCTCTTTAATCTGTTGGAGAGTCTGTGATTTCACAACATTGAGCAGTATGGCGTCACTTTGAGCAACTGGTTACGTAGTTCAAAGTTGTAGGACCACTAACACTTCAACAAACTGATGAGGGCTGAGCGATTTAGCCGAAATATTTCCACGCAAGTAAATAAATACAAGTCATATTCTATCAAACATCATGGTGTTGAAATACGTTTCTAGAAATGAGCTCTTGCATAATCTTTCTATTACTTTGGTGAACCTCCTATAAATAAATGGTTTGACCCCTAAGAAAAAATTCGTATGTATCTTCTGATTATCCGCTGCAGAGTAATCCTAAAGAGGACTGTTGTCATTTGTAGCTAATAAAATTTGGACAACTTGGTGGAAGTCTTCACCTAACTACTCTAGGAAGAACATTATGAGAGTCAAGGAACCGCTTTAAGCGCTCAGGTTTTTGAAACATTTGTCACTTCTAAGGGCAGTCCTTCTCAGGAACTACTCTTACCTGGAATATCAGAGTACAAGATCAAACCTTATTAAGTTTAGAACCCGACTGAAATAATTTTTGTTCAAAATTTTGACTTTTTCATGGTTGAATACTAACATTTCAAAGCCGTTCAATATCAACGTTCACCAATTAT